TTGGGGCGACTAGAACCTCAGTTTCGCAGTTGACGTCTGAAAAATTAACTCGCCCTCGTTTCCGTGGGAGCCACCTGTGCCCCCCTCTGCGTTGCGGACCCAGACAGCATCTCGTGGTAGAAGCAAAGTCTCGCGCAAAGCTCTGCCAGCCCGCCTGGGGCCCCGCCTCCCGCTGCCGAGGGTCATTGCCCAGTCCCACTGGCTCCCGGGAGTGCGCACGCCACCTTGGATGCAGCAGTCCGCTGCGGTGCGCAGAGCCCCAGAGGCACCCCTAGCTGAGAAGCAGTCTGGGTTCAAGGAGCGAGCACATCGGCTTCGCTTCCTCTTTCTTCTGGACCGGCAAACTGAGGCTGGAAAACTGCTGGCTTTCCAGACATTCTTGGGCTAAAGCGTTCCAAGGTAAGTCTTACCATTTGCAGGAAAGGCGGGAGAAATCTACAAAACAGCTGCCTATTGCTCCTGACATCAGGTAAGCGGGCTGCCTGGCAGACCGAGAGCCCTCCACTTCTACCCTCCACTCACATTGCCCATCCTTCAGGGCCATGGTAACCCCAAGACCACCGAGTGCTCGCAGTTCCCTAGGTCTTGGGCTGGTTTGGGGAGGCGGTGTGCATTTCTTCTAGAGGTTACCTGGGTGCGTAAAAATCACGATTTCTCAAGAGTGCTGGGAGATTCCCGACAAATTCCCTCCTGTTTTGTCTGTTCAGTATCAGACCCTCTTGAGAAGCCACTCTCCCTTTCACTGCTCCCGACCCGAATCCCCCAGGGTCCAGCGATGGCTTCAAACTGTCATCGCTGTCCCCCTCCCCAAGATTCCGAAGTACACACAAACTATTAGCTTTGCTCCCCCCACCTTCGTCTTTGAAAGCTAGCAGTCAGCTCGCTTCCACACCCATTCCTCATCCTTTTCCACTCTCTGATCTTCCCAGCCCCCTCCCCACTTTGCTCTTCAGTGCCACCGAGGACTGGAAAGGACTCCTGTCCGAGCTAAAGCTCAGTTCATGGGAACCCCTCCCCCGCCGAAACCACTGGCTTGGTAACTGGGGAGGGGTCTGTAGCCTAGGATGGAGATAAATCTATCTCTATCCCTCCTGCTCATGAAGCAGAAAAGAGCAAATCATGATAATTAGAACTCCCTGTCATCTCGCGCATCTCACGGTTGTTGCAGGTGGTTGCGAGCAGGGGAAGGGGGTGGTGGGGAGCCAGCCGCGCGGACCCTCGCGACACAAAGTGGTCTTACTGTGACGTGGTTTCTTTAAAGCTCCGCCCTCCATAAATTTGGGGAAGGGGCTAAGAGTAAGATGTATTCCTCTTCACTGCCCCCTTCTGCCTGTTTGGTTTAAGTGAAGTCTCACTGCGGAGAAGGGGAAATTCACAAACTATGTAAACTGAAGTTCTTGAGCCCACCTCCACATTGGGGTTTTAGAAGGTTCTAGAATCGATAAGACCCCCCCCCGCCATCCTCAGCAACATAACAATTTGAATAGGCGCTAATGTTTACTCCTTGGGCTCCATTGGGTGCCATCCCCAGGACAGTCTTGCACATAGGAGACACCACCCCACGACCCTCATCCTGGAGGGAAATTGGAGGAAGGGATAAGATCAAGAGTAGAGGGTACACCCCTCCACGCACTTATTTCTATTCTTCCCTAGTATACTAGTGAAGGAGTCTCAAACCCTAACCTTATTTCCAATGCTGCTTCAGCTTGGAAATTTGAAAAGGTGTCATAGCTGGGCACTCCACATTAACCTTGGCTCAGAATGGGGTCTTTTTTCAGTTTTCTTCATTGAAGAGCTTAGGCTAGAGCTGTAACTGAAACACTGGAGGGAGCCTCCTAATTCCCTCCTCAATCCAGATTAGACTGTATTTCTTTCCTGGGTATTATTTCCTTAGCACATATAGAACAATAAACTCAAGCTCAATTCCTGGCAGTAGATCACTGTGACCACTCATCCCTCAGGTGCTTTTGTAGCTTGGGCTGCTGGTTTTAGGGGAATGGTTTGCATTTTGAAATATAAAAGGAGGATACACCTAACTGGGTTTAGCTAGACAAAGAAATGGTGATTTCCTTGGCCTTAAGAATTTCTAGATTTTAGCCCAATAAGCTGATCTCCCTTATTTGCTTCTTTGGGGAGGTGGACTAGAAGAAATGGTAAGATGGAAAAAGTCTGTAACTCCCTCTCCCCAATATATGCAACACAAATCAATACCAGATATACAAAACAAAACACACTATGGAAGCATGAACACTAGAAACTCAGTCCATAAACACAGCATCCAAATGTACCTAAAAAACCTACGGCATTTATCTGTTTTGTAAAAGGTAAACACACACCATACATGCCTACGTTATGCAAATATATAGCAAACATGCTCCACCCAGATTCCACACAAGAAAGACAACACAACTTTCAAATACAAATTTCATCCAAGGAATATGCCAGAAATAGACATACAAAACGTATGAACACTCACAGCACACTCCACATACATACAAAAAATTTTCCCTTTCCACATGAATTTAAGGGATTAAAAACAAAACGCAGTTAGCCAGTAGAGGGAGATCTGGGATTTTCCACCGGGAAGATGTTCTTCACAGTAAATGGGGGAGGGGGAGAAGGGAGGGCAAGTTGCTAAGAAAAATAAATAAATAAAAGTGTGATGAAATCTTTTGTCTGTGTTGTATTTTTTCCTGAATACCTTCATAATACTAATGTAATCCTCATTCAGCTTGTGAAGTATATATCTCCATTGGACAATTGGGGAAACCAAGGCATAGAAAATATGATTAAAAATGTAGTTGATACATACTAGTTGCACATGTTTATGGAGTATAATGTGGTACTTTGATACATATATATAATGTATAATTAAGAAATTAGATGAATTGGCAGATATTTCACTTCAGAAATTTATCATGTTTGTGTTGGGAATATTCAAGGACTTTTCTACTGTTTTGCAACAAGCAGTCAATTCTTGTCAATCATCATTATCCCATGGAAGGTAAAGAAAAGCTATTTACCTCAAATCATATTATAAGGTAGTAACAGAGCAGGGAATGGGTAGAGATGAAAAACAAAGGTTTCTTTCCTGTCTGTATCTACAAGACACTATTACACTCCACTCTTACATGAATACAAACAAATTACTCGCCTCAGACTTTATTAACTAGCAGCTAACTGGTGGAGTTAAGTGGAAACTATTAATCTATTCAGAGACCCATGTTCCCACTTTTATATTTTTATTCACATCTCACAGTACATGGAAACAACAACCCAGAATTAGTTTCGGTTTTCACATGATAAAGTAGAAAGGTCCTGGATTAATTAATTGATGAAATATGTATTAAAAAGCAGACTTTTAGAGCATATTTAGGGCATGATTTGGGAATATTTGGCCTTGTGTGTCTGTTTGCTTCAAAATAGATATATGACTCTAGTTTCTGTCAATGATATTTTGATTGACTCAGCTTTTATTGATAGTTTCTTAACACCTAAGACACTTAAATCATCTATATTTTGCACTATATTATTATCTTAACATGGTTGATTCTCTTAATTATTTGGTGTTGGGTTTATCTCTACAATTTGTCAATAAGCAACTTCTTTTGTAGCTCCTAAGGCAGCTGGCCTGAGTATCACATTTCTGGCTGAGCTTGCTGCTGGATTGGTTGAATGATCTTAAGTATATATAGACAAATTTTGATGAAATGAAATGAATCATGCCTCAAATCAATCACAAGCAGATGTTTAGGGCTAAGCTAGTAGGAAAAGGGGTATAGGTTAAGCTGGTTTTAACCTGAGAACTTTAGAATTGAATTAATGCATATTTCTTTCCATATAAATAACTTAAAATTGTCATGGAAGTATGCATAGGGACTGTATAGAGAAAATGGCTGTTACCTTACTATAGTAGTGTTTGGATATCACATTTACCAAGAATGGAATCTCTGGCTCTACTGTAACAGGAAAGAAAAGTTTTTCTATAATGCACCTTTGTGTATATTTTTTAAATAAATGGAGCTAAGAAAAAGACCAAATTAAATTAGAAGAATGATTATTTGCTTTTAGAAATGATTCGCTTTGGAGTTCCTTTAAGCAATTCCCTAATCACTGCTAATTGAAAATTAGTCAGAAATAATGATAAAACATCTCAGAGATGAAAATGTAAGTAAAGCATTCAAATTTTTTAAGTGTTCAGTACACTCAGAATCTTAATGTGCTTTACCAGTTAGTTAAATTTAACAAGGTACTCCAATCCTTTCCTATTCCACAGCCCTGACAGAAAACAGGGACCTGGGGAGAGAAAAGATGGTAAGGAAGATAGCCTTAGTTTCTGTAGACCTATTCCAAAGAGGAAGATGGACTAAGGTATGAAAGCTATCATTTGCCTTCTCCCACAATCTTTCTGGTAAATGTGAGCTGGACATTAGAACCTAGATTTTTCTTTGGGGAGAGGTGAAAACCTGGCTTCTGGTTCCTCCTCCTCCTTCTCCTCCTCCTCCTCCTCCTCCTCCCCCTCCTCCTCTTTCTCTTCCTCTCTAACTCCTCCTCTTCTTCCTTGTTCTGCCTCCCCTTCATATATGTGTATATATATATATGTATATATATATATACATACACACATATTTATATGTAGTTTTCACATGTCCACCCAGTTATACTAAAGTAAAAGTAACAAGTAAAACTGAATACAATATATAATATGACTTTTGCTAGATATAGAGTATGTGAAATTAGAAAATAACAAACATCAACCTCACATAGGTACTGCTTTCGTTGTCAGAACATAAAAATTCTATTCTCATCTTGATTTTTAGGAATATATTAATTGTAAGTATAGACACCATGTGGTATGTCAGATCTGAGGAAATTATTAGAATTTAAAACTTATTAGAGTTTAAAATTCTTCATTCTTCCATCCTCAGGATACCACTCATTCTTCTATGATGCCTCAAATCTAAGGTGGACCTAGAATTTTCTACCTAATTATCCCCAAAATGAACAATTCCTTTGCATCCCCCTTACTGGAAAGTACTGTTGATTTGATCCATGAAAATGTCACTTGGCTTCCATCAATGGAAGATCAAAGCTGGAATAACACCTGTGCAAATGGCACCGAGGTCCCGGGTCCAGAGTGTGGAGGGCCAGCAGGAATGTATGGAAAATGGCTGGGGCGCAAACCCCACCTTATCGTGAAGATTGTGCTGTGTTTCGCATACGCAGTCATCATAATGATATCTCTCTTTGGAAACTCGCTGGTGTGCCAAGTTTTCATCAAGCACAAGGAAATCAACAAATCAACAGGCCTCCTCATCTTCAACCTGGCAATTTCTGACATACTGATAATTCTGTTCAACAGTCCATTTGCTCTGGTGAGTGACTACATTGGGTTGATTTCAGCCCAGAGTTTTTAGAGGCTGTTTCAAGGATGGTGGTGGGATTAAGAGGAAAAGGGACATATGAACTTGCTTCAGATGCCCCAGGAGACAATCTAACTGCAAAAAGGGTTGAGGATGATATCTGAGTTATAGCTAACCTTCCTTTTTGCTTCTTTCCCAAGGCCCGATTCCTGAGTGGACAATGGCTCTTTGGCAGGATCATGTGCCATGTCAGTCGATTTGCCCAGTACTGCTCCCTCCATGTCTCCACTTTAACTCTCATGGCTGTTGCTATGGACCGTCACCGGGTAAGGCTTCCGAATGGCAATTAGAATGCAAGGGGAGGGGGTATGGGCGGTACTCAAACAGATCAGACCCCTCCTCCATTGGGCTGGCTTTAAGGATAAAGGTATGCTTTGGGAATGGTTTGCAAAACTTTTCCCTACCTCTACACAACTTTTCCTGCAGCTGAATGCCATTTAAAGTTCTGAGTTTCCAGAGCCATGCATCTTTTAATGTGTAAATCGCCTTAAATCTAAGTGTTTAAATTGGAATTAAATTGTTTTAACAGTTTAGGTATATATGCAATCCAAGTAGAAACTCTTCAATCAGTTTTTGCTCATACAAATGACACTGACCTAAGCTGATAACTGGAAGAGTATTGTTTCTCTTTTCCAGGTGATTCTTCACCCAATGAAACCAAGACTGACACATTCCCAGTGCCTATTGATTGTTGCCATAATCTGGGTTCTTGCTGTGCTTCTTGCTCTTCCGCATGCAATTTATCAGAATCTCTTCATTTTCATTGGCATGTAAGTCAGACCAGTTACATAATGGGTAATTTAACTTTTACTTCCCAGAGCCCCAAAGGAAGTTGACATTTGAAAAGTCCTTGGTTGCATTCTTGTCCCCTTCCAACTCTCCTCAACGAAGAATATGAAGCCTCTAATTCTAACGCATACTAATTGAACCAAGACAATGGCCATCAGGTTAGAAATACTGGTTATTAGGGATCTGGTTTGCTTTACTTTGACCTCTGCCTGGAGCAGTCCTATAAGAGAGACTATTCTAGTTCCATACCCGAATTTAAAAGTGAAGAAATTATGATTTTAAATTAGAGGTGGTGGGATTTACTTAAGGACACATGGAGTTAAAGCTGAGACTAGAACCCGAGTCTCATTCAATTAGTCACATTTATCATGACTTCCTTGGCTTCTGTTCTAGGGATGGAGCTGTCAGCAGCCACTGCCTCCCCTCTTTCCCTGGATTCAGCAATCGATTTGGGAAGTACGTCGACCTGGGGACATTTATCTTGCTGTATGTTTTGCCCCTTCTGGTGATTGTGTCAGCATATTCTCATCTAGGGAAGAGGTTGTGGGTCCAGAATGCTGTCGGTGATGCATCTGATCGTCAACTTATGGCACACTACCAGAAGAGGAAGAAGAGCATCCGGATGCTGATTCTTATTGTAATGGTTTTTGCAGTATGTTGGTTTCCACTCAATTGCTATGTGGTTCTTATTTCTAGTGCAGGTGTAGATGCTGAGAGTGTGCTTTTCTATGCTTTCCACTGGTTTGCCATGAGCAGCACTTGCTACAACCCTTTCATCTACTGCTGGCTCAACAGGAGCTTCCGTGCCAAGCTCAGATCTATATTAGCTTGGTGCACGGAATGCCTGTTGATGCGAAGGAGCACCCCGGTTGAGCAAATGCAAGTTCAGGAGAGTCATGAGCTCCAGGAGCTCCAGACATCTTCACTACTACGCGTACCTCTGGCCATGCCAGAGCCCCCAGTACTTGAGGATCCCAGCGTGGCTACGGGGGATGACAATTCACAAATCTCTGTGCAGGGAGACTGGGATGATCCTGATGCAGACATGTCCCCGGATGATGAGGAGGAGTGTGAAACCCCAGATCCTTATTTCACTGTCCAAGTGAATGATTCTGTGAGAAGAGAACACATGACCCCTTGAAATTTTGTTTAGACTGAGTACCTGGGCAGATGTTCTTCATGGTATTGCAGCCGAGAGTATCCTTGAGGCCCCAGTCATGACCATTCCATTTTTCTCCCTGGGAAATTTGGCCCACCCCCTTTGCCCAGGTCAGATATTTTACAATCAATATGGTAAGGACAAATCAACCACAGATTATATAGTCCTTAAACAACATTGAGAGAATCAAATGTTTTCCTATCATGTACAACTTCATAGGTTGATGATTCTGAGTCCTGGAATCAGGGTAATCATACAGTACCTGATTGGGCCACTGTACCATTACAGAGGCAACTGTCATAAACAAATATATCCTGCACAAGTCTATTGCTTTACTTACTTGCTTTAGAGATGGGAAGTGTTGAGATTCGTTTCCCCAATTGACTTATTTTGACTCCAGTTTTGATCTGTAATTACCATTAGTACTTGAACATAGTAAGATTAAGGAATTATGAGTGCAAAGAGATTATGAGTAAAGCATCACAGAGAATATGGTATGATACTCCATCACCAATAAGAATACCTTCTGGGAGGTGTCATGATTTGTCCCAGTACTTACATGGAAATTAGATAACTTCCCCAACCTTAGCTATCCCCCATCTCCTATAATTTGTTGCATCCTAAATTGGAATAAAGATACAATCAGGTGCGTGCATGCATACACACTCATACATACTTTTATGTTCATACAGGTACAAGCATGTATATATTGCCTCTTGTAATCTCTCATGCTACTTCTGCCTGGTGCTCTCAGTTATTTCTACCTGTAATTTCCATGCTAACTGAGCCTGGATGTGATTTCATGCCTTAAAGTGAAGTCTGAGAGGCTCTCAGATTGTGGCAAAAACAATTTTTGCCCTAGGAATCAGGGTGTCTTTACTGTTGGTGCTTCACTTCCCCTTCCCCTGATTTTACTTTTTTTTAAGGTTGTGTGTTCTCTTGTGACAAGTCCATAGATCCATAACCTAAATTCATATTTGCTCTTCTGTGCTAATTCTTTTCTCTCATGCTAATTTTATGCTTCTATCGTAACTATCTCAAGTTATCTTTAATGGTTCTAATTTCCCCCCTTTCTCAATACTGTTTCTTGCCACCCAGTCTCATCCTCTTATTTCTCACGTCTGCTGTGACCCCTGCCCCACTTCCAAGCCCCAACATGACATATACACACATTCTGAACCACATTCATTTGGTACAAAACTGCTTCTCTCTCCTTTCAACATTTCACCCAGGTGCTCACTTTCCCATATCTGTTTGCTCTGGACTACTCAAACTTACATTTTGGTTGCTGCCTTAACCAGAGGTTCATAACCTCCTGGGCTAAGGCTCATCATCTCCTCAGTAATTAAGGTCTCCCCATTTCCGGTGCTTTGTTATATTCTAGGTTCTAGCCCATTCCTCCTCTGTTTTTTACCCTTTTCTTGTCTCTCCACACCTCCTCCTTTCTCTACCACTATCTTTCCTTCTTTGCTTACCTCGTTAATGCTAACTCCCTCTATGGTGTTGCACTACATCTAGTATTACTTCAGTATTCTAGTTCTTTATTTTTTCACTGCACATAGACCATCATCTTTCAGCCTCTTCCACTCACATGAACAAACTTGTGTGCACACATACCAATTACATATCTCAATATTTAATTACTCTTCAACACCAAATTTGGATATTTCTTTTGATTCTGAAACAGGACAAGGATGAATAGCAACGCCAGGGGCATTGTGGATTCCTTGAGAAACGTGGCCTTCCATTAGCTGAGTGTTGTAGGGTCCATGAGGGAACACAACTCTCTGGGCCTTCAAGAGAACCTGTCTACAATGACATTGATGGCAAGGAGAATGAATAATGTCTAGTTTCAAGCATATTGTTTGTGACAGATCTTTCCTTCTTGCCCTTTAGATGACCAAATATCCCTGCTCTCATGAATTATGTTAGCTTAGAATATCCATCAGAGGGCACCATGCACAAGGATATGGAGAGGAGTCTGGCAGTTTCCTTGAGATCTCAGCATTCCTTAATAAGATTGTTCTTTCTAGCTAAATTATTTGCTTCTATTTTTCTGACAGATTAGAGTTTAGTATCTGCTTATATATATATAGGTGATAAACCATGGTCATGTTGAAGTCAAAGTTGGGAAGAGATTTGAGCTTTGTTCATAGGACAGCTTTATTCATGGCCACAAATTTTAGCTAGATATGGGACCTTTGGTGACCTCAGCTAGAGCAGAGACTGGCCGGCCTAATATAACCTGTCCTTCCAATTGAAAGAAACCTGGTACACACTCAAAAGAAACGTCATCTATACTAGTAAAAGATGAAAGACAGCACTTCTATGCTTTGTTTTAGGTGTAGGGGCAGGATAGGGTGTACGGTGAAAATGAGTGCAGGACTCAGAGGAATAGGACCAGGCTTTTTTCCCTGACTCAACTATTTGTATGACCTTGGGCAAGTCACCTGACCTTGGTGTGCCTCAGTTTCCTCATCTGTAAAATGGGGATAATAATACCTACAAAACTTATAGGGCTATTGTGAGGATTATCTGTGCAAACAGATGATACATTTGGAAGCATTTAACATAATGCTTTCTCAAATATAGGTATTATTATTGTTAATAGTTTCCTCTATTGTTATTTATCTTGTGATTATTCATATTGCTATTACTATGATGATTATGACTTGTTATCGTTAATACTAATATTGTTATGATCCCCCAATTTCTGACCCTTAGATACTTTAGATACCCTTAGAGGGCAGTGAACATATTTTAAGAACAGATTGCCTAAGAGATTTCCTCAGGCAAAAAGAGAAGCTTCCACTGTCTGTGTGGATGAATGAAGGCAAAGCACTTGCAGACTAAAGGAATCCAGTCTCCAAAGAACACTGGAGGGATTAAAGTAGTTCCAGAATAGGAACAAAGAATGTAGCTGAATGGCACATGGGTGAATGTGAAGTTTTGAGTTTCCTCAGTCAGGAAATCAAAGAAGAGAGCTTGAGTGGTTAGGTGGTGATAAAGTACAAGATCCCTATTGTGAATCCTTATCTCTTGTGAGAACACTATTTATCTTTGATTCGATTTAATTCTCTATAATTATATATTCATATATATTGTTTTAGATGTAGCAAAGTATTAATTGTAACAGTGCTAACTTACGGTGCTCTTCTAAAGTGTGCTTAAAGTGTTTTATGGTGTTACATTTAACTATTTCTCTGCCAAAATAGCTAACAAAGAAATCAAAAGAGAACAAAAAACAAAAAATTACAATGCTCTACAATGCCTTCACATGTCATTTATATGTGCTTGCATATGTAACATTAAAAAGACCCAAAAGAATGAATGCTGATGTTGAACTTTGGATGCATCTAATGCAGGCTATGCCTGCTCGAACGCCTTTAGCTAGACACAGAGACTGCTTCTGAAATCATGTTCTGCCTGACAACCAGCAAGTGGGAAATGTAAATAATTTGAACTCTAAGTTCGAGCCCTACTCTGAGCCTTCCCCAGAGGTTCTATTCAGAGGGGAGCACATGAAGGGACTCGAATAGGTTGACTCTGATTATCCTGTGCCAGTTGCTTTTGGCATTTAAGTGTATCTTGACTAGGGTAAATTTTCAAGTGCTTCAAAAACTATCCCTTTGTGAATCCTTTTGTGATTATGTACATGCTCAATTAAAATAAATAAATAAATAAATAAAGCTTTGCTTGATGGTATCCTTTTAAACTAAAGCTAATATAAGATATTTCTTCTATCAATATAGACCACAGCCTTCCCTTGGTCTAGAAAAACTCAACAAAAGTGCAACACAGTATAATAAGAGCTATGAGGAATTTAGAAGAAACAACCTGTGAATGAAACTTGATTATGCAGAATCTCTGGCTGGCATGTTCAGATATTTGCTGCTGAAAGAAACGTGCAGGGAATGCAAAATTGATCTGTAGGCTTAGCATTTCTCTAAATGTCAGGCTCAGCAGAGGGTGAGCTCCCAGGTGGGGGAATGAAATAGAGAATGGTAGAGGGGTTGGGTAGGAAGAGGTGGCATAAGAGTTTCAGATAGTTACTTGTCAACCTTTTTTATTGGAGTAAGACTTTTACATTGTAAGGGAAATGTCAGAAAGACTGATTGGTAAATAGGATAGAAATACATGGTGACCTGTAATCTGGGGAATGAAAGACAGCCAAAATTTAAGAGTGGAAAGGCCCATCTTGCCACTTCACTAAGTTCAAGACTACCTATATAACTCCATACATTAATTCCATTCACATGGGGGTATATGCAACATATGTAGGCAATGAATCCTTAACCAATGTCCATTACCAATCCAGTCAATTAACCAATCTGGTCAACTGATTGTTAACCAATCAGGACAATAATCATAGGCTACGAGGGCTGGAGAGGGTACTGGGAAATCCTCTATAGCTCACATTTTTACCAAATTAGCTGCTTGATTGTGACAAGATGGAGTGCTACATAAGATGGGGCTGGAGGTGTGTTTGGAAAATACAGGGAGGTTGAGATAAAATCATACTTACTAAATCAATAGAGGATCATTTTATCATATCAATAACCTGTATCAGAGCAACCGAAGCTAAGCTATTATCTTTAGCCACATAGAATTAGTAATTCCTAAGTAATTCCTTTCTGAGAGAAGATTCATATATGACAGTGAATATTATTCAGTTTCTTGTTTCTATAACAAAGTACATAAATAATCACCTTATAAGAAAGGTTTGTTTTGGATCATGGTTTTGGAGATTTAAGTCAATAGTCAGTTGGCCCAGCACAATGAGGGGTACACGGAAAAGCATATCAACTCATGGCCAGTAATTGAAAGGAAGAGACCAGGGCCTCACAATTCCCTTTGAAATCATACTTCCTAATGATTGGAAAGCCTCCAATTAGCCTTCATCTTTTAAAGTTCCTACCAGCTCCCAATAGTCATAAGCTGGGGACTGAGCTTTTAACATATGGACCTTTGGGGATACTCAA